TTCTCACAGGAAACGCTACAGGCCAGAAGGGAATGGCATGAAGTAATCAAAGTCATGAAAAACAAGAATCTGAATCCAAGACTACTCTACCCAGCAAGGCTATCATTCAAAATAGAAGGTCAAATAAAGAGCTTCCCAGACAAAAAAAAAGGCTAAGGGAATACATTAGCACCAAACCAGCACTGCAAGAAATGTTAAAAGGACTGCTGTAATTAGCAGTAGAAATGGGAAGAAAAATAGAACCACACTAAACCAAAATGGCAATAAATAAGTACATATCAATAATCACCTTAAATGTAAATGGATTGAATGCTCCCATAAAAAGACACAGAGTAGCTGATTGGATAAGAAAGCATGACTCATCTATATGTTGTTTACAAGAGACCCACCTCACAACAAAAGACTCATATAGGTTGAAAGTGAAGGGATGGAAAAATTTTTCCAAGCAAATGGAAAGCAAAAAAAAGCTGGGGTAACAATTCTCATTTCTGATAAAATAGATTTCAAAATGAAGGCCATAACTAGAGACAAAGACGGCCACTACATAATATTGAAAGGATCTATCCAACAGGAAGATATAACCTTGAGAAACATATATGCACCCAATATAGGAGCACCAAAATATATTAAAAATCTTCTGGAGGACTTCCAAGGAGAAATCGACAACAATACAATCATAGCAGGGGATTTCAACACCCTGTTGACAGCACTGGATAGATCCTCTAGGCAAAAAATTAGCAAGGAAACAGAGACTCTAAATGAAGCACTAGACCAAATAGATTTAATAGATATCTACAGAGAATTACACCCCAAAACTACAGATTTCACATTCTTCTCAAGTGCACATGGGACATTCTCAAAGATAGACCACATGATAGGACACAAACTAAATCTCCACAAGTTCAAGGAGATTGAAATCATATCAAGCATCTTCTCAGATCACAATGGCATGAAACTAGAAATCAATTGCAACAAGAACATGCAAAGACATTTCAACACATGGAGGCTAAATAGTATGTTATTAAACAATGAATGGGTCACCGAGGAGATCAAGGAAGAAATTAAAAACTTCTTGGAAACCAATGAAAATGAACACACAACAACACAAAATCTATGGGATGCAGCGAAAGCAGTTCTGAGAGGGAAGTTCATAGCACTACAGGCCTACCTCAAAAAACAAGAAAAATTTCTAATTGACTGTCTAACCTCACAACTTAAAGAATTAGAAAGCAAACAAAAAGAAAACCCCAGAGCAAGTAGAAGGAAGGAAATAGTAAAGATCAGAGCAAAAATAAATGACATAGAGACCAAAAAAACAATTCAAAGGATCAATGAAACAAAGAGCTGGTTTTTCGAAAAGATAAACAAGATTGATGGACCCTTAGCTAGACTCACCAAGAAACAAAGAGAGAGAACCCAAATACACAAAATCAGAAATGAAAGAGAAGAAGTAACAACCGACACCACAGAAATACAAAGGATCGTTAACAAATACTATGAACGACTATATGGCAACAAATTCGAAAATCTAAGCAAAATGGACAAATTTCTAGAAACACACAGACTCCCAAAACTGGACCCGGAAGAGATAGAAAACTTGAACACACCAATAACAACTAAGGAAATTGAAGAGGTAATCAAGACTCTCCCAGCAAACAAAAGCCCAGACCCAGATGGCTTCACGGGGGAGTTTTACCGAACATTCAAAAAAGAACTAACACCCATTCTCCTCAAACTATTTCAAAAGATTCAAGAAGAAGGAAGACTTCCAAACACGTTCTATGAGGCCAGCATAATTCTAATTCCAAAACCAGAAAAAGACACTATGAAGAAAGAAAACTACAGGCCAATATCCCTGATGAACATAGATGCCAAAATCCTGAACAAAATATTAGCAAATCGGATCCAGAAATACATCAAAAAAATTATTCACCATGACTAAGTGGGATTCATTCCAGGGATGCAAGGCTGGTACAATATTCGCAAATCAATAAATGTAATACACCACATAAACAAAATGAAGAATAAAAACCACATGATCCTATCAATAGGTGCTGAAAAAGCATTCGACAAAATCCAGCATCCATTTCTGATAAAAACGCTCAGCAATGTGGGAATAGAGGGATCATATCTCGACATAATAAAGGCCATATATGAAAGACCTACAGCCAACATCATACTCAATGGACAGAAACTAAAAACATTTCCATTAAGAACAGGAACAAGACAGGGATGTCCACTTTCACCACTCTTATTTAACATTGTACTAGAAGTCTTAGCAACATCAATCAGACATGAAGAAAAAATAAAAGGGATCCAAATTGGAAAGGAGGAAGTGAAACTGTCATTATTTGCAGATGACATGATATTATACATAGAAAACCCTAAACACTCCATCAAAAATCTACTAGACTTAATAAATGAATTTGGTAAAGTAGCAGGATACAAAATAAATGTCAAGAAATCCACGGCATTCTTGTACACCAATGATGAACTCACAGAAAGAGAAACTGAAAAAACAATCCCATTTACCATCGCACCAAAAAAATTAAGATACCTAGGAATAAACTTAACCAAAGAAGTAAAGGACCTATGTGCAGAAAACTACAGGTCATTGAAAAAAGAAATAGAGGAAGATATTAAAAAGTGGAAGCACATACCCTGTTCATGGATTGGAAGAATTAACATCATTAAAATGTCCATACTACCCAAAGTAATCTATAGATTCAATGCAATCCCCATCAAAATACCAACGACATATTTCATAGAACTAGAACAAATACTTCAAAAGTTCATATGGAACCAAAAAAGACCCCGAATAGCCACAGCAATCTTGAAAAAGAAGAACAAAGTAGGTGGGATCACAATACCAGATATCAGGTTATACTACAAAGCAACTGTAACCAAAACAGCCTGGTACTGGCACAAGAACAGGCATATAGACCAGTGGAACAGAACTGAAAACCCAGAAATGGACCCAAAGCAATACGCTCAATTAATATTTGACAAAGGTGGCAAGAGCATACAGTGGAGTATAGACAGCCTCTTTAATAAATGGTGTTGGGGAAATTGGACAGCTACATGCAAAAAAATGAAACTAGACCATCAACTTACACCATACACAAAAATAAACTCAAAATGGATAAAAGACTTAAATATGACCCGTGAATCAATAAAAATTCTAGAAGAAAATGTAGGCAACAAAATCTCGGACATCATACACAGCAGAATTTTCACTGATACATCACCTAAGGCAACAGAAACAAAGGAAAAATGAACACATGGGACTACATCAAACTAAAAATCTTCTGCACAGCAAAAGAAACAATCATCAAAATGGAAAGGCAACCCGCTGTATGGGAGAACATCATTGCCAATGATGTATCAGATAAGGGGTTAATTTCCAATATATATAGAGTGCTCATACAACTCCACAAAAGGAAGACAAAGAACCCAATTAAAAAATGGGCAGAGGAGCTGAATAGACACCTCTCCAAACAGGACATACAAATGGCCAAGAGACATATGAAGAAATGCTCAACATCACTCATCATCAGAGAGATGCAAATTAAAACAACAATGAGGTATCACCTCACACCTGTCAGAATGGCCGCCATCAATAAATCATCAAACAACAAGTGTTGGCGAGGGTGTGGAGAAAAGGGAACTCTAATACACTGCTGGTGGGAATGCAGACTGGTGCAGCCGCTATGGAAAACAATATGGTGTTACCTCAAAAAATTAAAAATTGAACTTCCATTTGACCCAGTGATCCCACTTCTAGGAATATACCCTAAGAAGCCTGAAACACCAATCAGGAAGAATATATGTACCCCCATGTTCATAGCAGCACTATTTACAATAGCTAAGATCTGGAAACAGCCCAAGTGTCCATCAGTAAATGAATGGATAAAAAAGCTGTGGTACATACACAATGGAGTACTATGTAGCGGTAAGAAAGAAAGATCTCTTATCCTTTGAGACGACATGGAGGGACCTGGAAAGTATTATCCTAAGTGAAATAAGCTAAGCAGAAAAAGACAAATACCACATGATCTCACTTATATACGGAATATAATGAACATAACAGTCTGAGTAATACAGTAGACCCAGAAACATGGAAGTAGGGCACAGACTGACATCCCTCAGAAGAGGGGGTGGGGGGGTGGGAAGAGATAAACCACAGAACGTATATGCATGTATGCATGACCAATGGACATGGACAACGGGGACGGGGCGGGGGTGGGGTGGGGAGGGGGGTGCCAATTGGGTAAAAAAGGTAAAATATCTGTAACAAAAAATAAATAAAAATTATAAATAAATAAATAAATAAATTAGGATGAAAATTAAGGGGATGAGTTGAAAGGATATACTTTGCATCTTTTTATGATAAGAAAACAGATATGAAGGGATGGAGAAAAAAAAAATCAAAATCCTATGTTTATGTTAAGAAGCCTTTGGTATTTTATTTCTAAACTTTGTTTTATTACTCTTATAGTTTAAAAAGATATATTCAAACCATGAACTGAGAAAATCTACTTAGCTATTTACTCTTTTGAGCATAATTTAATCAGTTTCTAAATTCCAATCAGCCAGAGATTCCTGAATATATCTTCTAAGACAGATACAGTGAATTACTTTTCAGCATTTTTTTCAGATCCTTCCCTAGCTTTATAAGCTACAATTTTACATCTGTTTTATTGTGAAACGTACTTTTCTTCTGCTGCATATTTATGTATTCAATGCTAAAACCAGCATTTTGGTAGATAGCTCTTGTATCTTCTTTCAGAGACAGTTAGAAAGAATCTAATATAGATAATTTATGTGTGACTATATTGGTTACTTGTAAACTATTAACTAATGCTATAATGAAAACTGAACTGATGTCAACATTAAGTTATTCTGTAATTATATTAAAACTTGTGTGTGTGCGTGTGTGTGTGTTTCTATTACCATAAAGAAAATCTAAATATAGGGGGTCAATTTTATAATACACTTACCAGGATGATTGGAAATGGGAGGCTGGAATGCAAGCTCATTGTGAACTGGCCCTAAAGAAAAGACAATAAAAATCCCAATTTTATTTATTAAAAGTTCACCAATGCTAAAATTTTTAATAAACCTTACTTAAATATAACTACCATACCTTAGGAGTTGTTTGGATCAAGCTTCTGCAATGTCTAAGAACTTAAAAGCTTAGTTTAGATTACTTCATAATTATAATAAGCAAATACTCTTGAATTACTTTTGTAGATATTTAATAGCTAACATGTTAGTGCCAAGTGCTGTTAAGCAATTTACAGTAGTTGTACATACAAAATTTAAAGTAAATTACAAATTACTGATGTAACATTTAATACAGTATCATTTATAATGTAATGTATAGTAATAATTCAGATTGTTAGATCCATTCTAAAAACAAGTGTTTATGGCTTATTAAATTAAGGATATCTGCATAATGGAACAGTAGCTAACATGATTGAGAGATTATTATGTTAAGATATTGTGCTGAACATCTCCCATGAATTATTACATTTATTTCTTACAATTTTGAGGTAGATATTACTATTATCACTCTTAAGGCTTAGGGAGATTAAATAACTTGCCAATCGTCACACAGCCAGTTAAGGGTCCAAATTCAGCAATCTTAACCACTATGCTGGCCCGGCAGCTATTAAAAATTATATTCTCTTAACACATGAAAAAACAGTAACATAACTGAAAAAAAAAAAATCAAAACAGGATATAACAATATACACAGTATGATATCCTCCCCCCCCCCCAAATTTATATATACCTATTTATATGACTAGAAGGACAACATGACAAAGTATTAGAAGTGGATTTCTCTGGGTGGTAGGATTCTGGGTAATTTTTATTTTCTTATTTATACTATTCTATATCTTCCAAGTTTCCTTGAGAGTATTAATCTTTATTTGAGGAAAAAATATTTAATACATATGAACGATCTATACTCTTGATTTTACTAAGCCAAATGAACAGTGTTCCTATTCTGCCTGAAACTATAAGCTATGGTTAAGCAGTAGGGTATCTCTCGCAATCAAGCCTGCACAGAGTAATGATGGATTCGACACTGGAGTGTCTATCCTATGCTAAATACTACAGTGAGAGAAACCTTGAGATCTTGACACTCAAAGGGTTTCAATCATCTTGGGGTGGATATACAGATACACATGAGATCTAAGAGATATACAAAGCAAACAAATGAATGGAAATCAATGTGGTGTTAATGAAACATCAGCAACAGAAAAATAAATGTATTTAGTAAACATTACTCCTCTAAAACAAAGGTATAATAATGTAATTATAAAAAATAATACTTTTTATAAAAAATACTGAAAAACACTAATCATTTAATAAAACTAAATTGTAAAATGAATAAAGGATGTAAAAACATTTTTTTAATGGAAAAAAAAATTAACTCCTCAAAAAGAAAAAGCCCTTACAACAAAAACAAGAGCTTACAGTAATGTCCGGGATGGGGCGGCATAGGCGGGTGGTGCTGAAGATGGCCGTTTTGGTGGTGAGGCAAATTAGGTGTGTATGGTGCGGTCCTACTTCCAGTCCAGGTGGTAGTGCTGTCTAAAAATTAAGGCCCATATGGATTAATTTGCTTTTATAACGTCTGCCTGGTTTTCTCAACTACTTAAAATATTTTAAAAAGCATGTACATACTATGATGGTAAGTAGCTGGCTGACCAGTAAATCCATTCTGCTGCTGTCCTGGCTGAGGCCCTGAAGCTATCTGCAACAATCCTTCACTATGGCTGCCTGCCAGTATACTGGCAGGCTGACCTAGAGGAACAAGAAGACATTAAGATGGTACATTTATAGATTCAATCCTATGGTTTTATACAGTAAATGAAGGACCAAATTATATCTGATAGTCACAACTATAAAAATGGGCAAAAAGTAACTCATTCATGGCCTATTAAATAAAATCCTGAAGTCCTCTATAAAGGCAAACCTTAACTTGAAGAAGTTTAAAATTATTCTATCTTAAGTAATGTCTAGCTAATTTTAGTAGCCTATTTCTTCACAGTAGTCTTCAAATGCCAGCAAATGCCCACTATATGTCTAGCCTATCATACCAACTTCTTCAGAGACACATCAACTCACCCAGGGCCACTCCATCCAGCTCTGGACCTTTCTGATTAGGACTCCAAAAGTCCAGGTTTAAGAAAATGTTGAAGACTGGAAAGTTCACTATTATCAGCTCTAGTACTGGTAATGATAGATTGCTAGGGTTTCATAAATGAAAAGCAGAGCAGGCAAATATTTTAAATGAAATGTAATGAATAAGGTGAGAAAATTAAAAAAAAAAATTCAAGCTCCACTGTCCAATCGTATAGCATTTAAAAAAACAACAACTATCAGACCATCAGCCTACTTTGAAATTTTTTCATGTACTTTTAGAAACCAAGAATCCCCTCTTTCCAAGAACATTATTCTATTCCTGTATTTACAGGAAATCCATTGCCCTCTCTATATGTAACAGAAGATTAAGCTTCCTCTGGCTTCTATCCAATTCAAAACTATTCTATGATATTGCTGAATGGCCTACATTTTCAAGGCCTTATTTTTTAGTTTAAAAAAAAAAGAAACTTGATTTCAATTGTTTATGTCATTTGTAAAGCACTGACATTTCATAACTGCTATTTGTCACTGGCATAACCTCAGTTTTTCTCATTTAATTGTGGGTATAATCAAAGAGAAGAGAGTAGATGACCACTGCTCAAAGTATCAAGGAAAAGAATCTTTTTCTCCTCCCTACAAATCACATTTCCTTAAAGCTAAGTCTGTAAAATTAAAAGCTAAAGAGTAATATTTCAATACTCATTGAATTATTTATTTTAAAAGACAACTGTTTTTAGTACTCACCCCTTCCTACTTATCTCTACCCTCAAAATTTTTTGCAAGTTATCTTAAGATTTTAATTTACAGATATTTAGAAAGAAACCCTGAAGACATTCAGGTGCCAAATGACAAACTGTAAAGTAGCCCACTGCAGTTATCTGTAATGAATATTTCCAGTTATACAATTCTAAGTACATAAGATAAAATTAAATCAGCTCATGTAAAACAGTCTTCAAATTTCTCTATTTTAGACCCACTGCTTTTCTTTCTTTTAATTTTATCAATACACTTCTTGAGATCAAATGGGGAAAAAAACTATGCAACAAATTCTAAAACCTAAAGTAATCACTACTCAACTGTGAAAATATATCCAAAAAATACCAGGACAAAAGTATCTGCATTTCATTCATATCACTTTTTCTAGTCTTCATAGGACTAGGCCCCATGGAACAAGATAGTTAAAATGAAGTCACGTTAGCAAGCATCAACAAAGGCATGCAATTTCAACCTCCAGATAATATCAACAAAGGTTAAGTGGCTGTGCTCTAGCACTAAATCTATGCTATAATGTACCTTCTTTAATTCTCCATCACTACTCACTCTCTTTGTCAATTATATTTCCAAACTGGTAAATAAAGAATAGACAGATAACAGAAGCACCAAGTGGCTAAGGGTCCGGGTTCTCGAGTATGTGCTTTATCAATATGACCCACTTAGATTATGTGAGACTATTCTCACATATTTTCACATAGAGACTATATCTAAGTCTCTATGGTGAAGAGTGTCATCTTATATAGCAAATCCAAAAGATACTGTTTTGAAGAGACAAAGTCAATTAAAGAGGGGGTAAAGTTAGTATACTTTACTCAAAAACTCAATTATAGCCCAGCAGGTGTGGCTCAGTGGACTGCGCATCACCCCATGGACTGAGAAGTCCCAGTTTGATTCCTGGTCAGGGCACATGTCTGGGTTGTGGGTTCAATCCCCAGTAGGGGGCATGCAGGAGGCAGCTGATAGATGTTTCTTTCTCACATTGATATTTCTATCTCTCTCCCTTCCTCTCTTTAAATAATCAATAAAACATTTTTAAAAACTCAATATATAAATCAGTTCTCCATTTTTCTCAAATATCAAATTTCTATATTGAATTTGATCTGATATTAAACAGAATAATGCTTCCTTTGGTAGCAGCTAACAAAGTATCAGTCCAGATCAACATCTAGTGCTAGCAACCAGTGCAAATAAGAATATATACATGCCAAGAACCTGCTGTGTGATTACTTTTACGAAACTACTCTAAGCATCACACTGTCCAACCTTTGATGACTATAAAAATAAGTAACGGTAGTAACAGAACAGGTCATTATTGCCTTGATCAAGCCCCAAGAAAAGCTGAACCTAATAGTCCTGTGGCAGAGAAGGTGACACCTCTATTATGGGAAAAACCTTTAGAAATAGACTTCTTATTTGAAGAAAATGTAGCATTAACTACATAGAATTTAGCTTTATTTCAAATTTGACTAAAATACTTAACATTTATCTTAAGGGATATTAGTTTGTCATGATCCCCTCTTCTAAGTTTGCACAGTCGGAGACTGGGATGACTATTATAAATCAATATTCTGCCAAATAAATCAAAATAAAAACATTGATTAAAGGAAAGTTCACAACTCCATTAATTTAGATTTTTATAAACATGTTGGTTTAAAACTACTTCTTAACTACTTAACTATTTCTCTAAACAGTATCAAGAGGCTTCTTACTTCTGCATGCAATAGTACACATTAGACTATTAATTTAAATATAATCAAAATCATTACTTAAATTCTAAGTCATTACTTAAAAGTCTATGTGACTATACACCAACATAAAAATGTTTAAATAAACTAAAAACCAATTTTTCCAGGACCAACCCAAAAACCTATTTAATACTTGTTTACCAATGAACGATACCATAGGACTTTTAATTATTACTTACTTGGAGTTTTCCTCCAAGTGACTAAATATAAATATACAATGGTTAGGGAAATTCAACTTGCTGACTACATCTGATTCTCCAACTCACTTGTGGAAGCCACAGGAATGTTGGGAAAGTTGGTGGTGCTGGTAGCATTAGACTCAGATGGAGCTAACAGAGCTGGGGTGTTGTATGTCTCCGTTGATGCACGATTACTTGGTGGATGCTGGATAGTTTGAATTGAATGCCCTTCAGTGGATAACGATGGCTGTCCCTCAAAGTCATGAACATATTCATCCTTCACCAACATACTTGGTGGAGCTATATAGAAAATTAAGCATATTTTTAAATCTTATAAGCTTCTATTCCCAGAAAAAAAATTATAAGTAATATGACAACACCTAAAATCAATGATAGTATAAAATAACTCAGAATTTTTTCACAATATTTTAAAAGCATACTACTTTATCAGCAAAAGGTATTTATTTAAAGTTACTGGCATCAGATATATTCTATCAGTCAATTTGACAGACCTCTTTGAAATCTGAAGCTACACTATATTCCAGTAATTTGCAGCACTGGTCCCGAAGAGGTAGTCCTTAGTTTCTTGATTAACCTAGAAATAATAATCACCTTAAATATAACATGAGGTAGACGAAAACCGAATGGCTGGGGAAAATATTTATCCGGATGAGAAGACCAAATTGAGATTGAGTACGAAGCTGTATCTTTTTGCTGATTTCACACACTGTAAAAGTATGAGTGGGATCTGATAGCTATCCAATTCCAGGATCCAGAATTATTAAGTAACATAGTCTTTGAAAGTGAAGTATACTGAATGTCCCTGAAGGGTTAGAACCAGAGAGAAAAATCCTAAATGCTAAGTCAAACTGAAATTTCCTTCTAGAAACCCAACCTAAATAATGATGTTTGATAAGTATGTGGTGTGAAAAAAAACTTAATAATCAACATCTTTCATCTATGTGGGCTAGACTCTAGCTATACAACATAACACCTTTCCTTGAACAAACCAGGAAATAGGGTTTGTTATGAGGAAAAAAGCAAACAGAAACTGTATCTATAATGTCAGATGTTCTCTACCCAAAATCCCCATATCTGTTCTTGGGCTATCGTTTTAGGGTTTTTTATCCGTAGCAAATAATCCTTTATTGCTTCTGAACACTACCCCAGAATTTTATAAACTACTGAACTCTAATACTAGGTTCTCTTCGTAGAGCAGTTAATAGTCCACAAAGACATTCTGTTTTCCATTAAGAATCAGCATATAGCAATCCTTATCTTTCCCTATGTCAATCTTTTAAAAACCTTACACATAAATACCAATTATTACATGACTATATTTTCATTAAACTGAGAATATTTCAATGCAGTAAGAATACTCCATTGTTCAAATTTCTATGTACAATCTGTTAAAGGATTTTCATGAATCAAAAGTCATGAAAACATTGGTAATTTTAAGACACATAAATTCATTCCAAAGTTTCTCTTTAGAAAATTCGACAAAAACAGGAAAATAACCAAAAGGATACTTGACACATCATTACATATCAGCAAAAAAACTGAACCCAACCTACTCATCACTAATGTTGGCCAAATTATAAAAATACAAAGTTTGGGACATAAAGTGGATATGGGTGTATTTATTCAATCTGTTTTTAAAATTACACTCTTCAACAAAGTTCTGTGATTTTCTTATATAGATCCTGATGTCTCTAATTCCTGGGCATTTTAGTGTTTTTTTGCTGTTATAGTGACTAGGATCTTTTTACCAAGACACTGATACTGCTAATACACATAAGGAGAAAACTACTGATATGAGGATATAGCCAGTCGAACTGATACTCATTGCTTCTACTTTCCAGTAGACTCTTCGGGTTAATGTGCAGTCATAACAACTGAATCTTGATTTTAAAGAGATTTTAAAGAAGCATGCCTCATAACTTTCTCTTGCCTAATTTCTTGGCTAAAGTTTTCCAAATGTACATTTGGGACCTCTACCAGCCTCCAGGTCTCTAAATCAAATAACTTAAAACATATGTCTTTTAGGTAAAACTGTAGGCATCAACAAGACAGATGTCTGCAATATATTTTTGTCAAGAGAAAAAAAATAGGTTACAAAACACTATTGTACACTAGGATCACATGCATGTTTAAAAAATTATATACCATAAGTGAAAAAGTAAGGTCCAGAAAAGTACACAATACGCTCTTTGTGAAATAAAGGAGGGAAATAGTACACGTATTTTTTGCATAAAGAAATCCTGGAAGGAAACACCAGAAACTAATAAAAGTGATTACCTGAGGTGGGGGGGAATGGGGGCAGGGGTGGGAGCACTTCTTTTCACTGTATACCTTTTTATAGTATTTTGATTTATGGACCATGTATTGCCTATTCAAAAAAATAAAATTAAAAAAACATATAGTATATATTTTTAAAGTCTAGAAAAATAGACACCAAACTATTAAGTATTTCTCTTAATGGAGCAGCATTCAACAAATTCATTTGCTAAAAAAAATATATATATATATATATATATATGTATATATATTTATTGAGCACTTATGTTCCAGGCACTGTTCTAGCACTTGGGATACACCAAATAAACAAAAGAAAGATCGATGCCCTCATGGAGCTTGCAGTCTTTTATAATATGTTTCTATTGTTCAAATATCTAAGAGTGAGCAAACATTACTCTAGCTCCTCCTAGCTGTCTAATCTTGGACAAGTTCCTTGACCTCTCCAGGTACCAGTCTCTTCATTTTTGATAAAGTGTGGATAATGCCACCTACCATGTAGGGGTATTGTGAGGATGATGATACAATACTTATAAACCATTTAGCTCAGTACCTGATACAAAATGAGTACTTAGAATTCGCTATTATAATTTAACCATATTTTTAAGAGTGGTCATACATGTACATAGTTATTGTAAAATGTTCATTGAGGGTTAAGGAATGTATAAGGAACAGAAAAGCTGAAGCCACCGGGCTCATCCTAGTCTGTACTCTTTATCACCACCAGCAGGTAAGCCATGTACTTGTCTGATGGTACTGTCACTGTCTTTTTTACCTTTTCTTTCCTCCATTAGACTATGAGCTCTCTAAGTGGAGAAAATATACCTTACTTATCCTATTGTCCCTAGAATCTAACACAGTACCAAGCAATATATGCTCATTAAATATTTGTTAAAATGAATACAAAGGTTGATTTGGTCATGGAAAGTTTCACAGAAGAGATGAGACCAGCTGGAAATGATTACCACCATAATCCTAACTCAAAAGTGAAAGAATTAACCCATTTTCTTAACTTTTAATTACCTGGTCTTGTATTATTTCTTTGACCAAATTTAGAAGGAGCTGTGAGAAATGCCTGTTTTCTGAGGAAATAAGCCTTTGAAGTCAGCCTTTACATAATCAAGAGTAGGGGGATCTACAAGGCTAAAGACAGCCCTAGAGCCACTAAAAAGAGGCTATTAATCCACACAATCCCATCAAAAATAAGTACTCAGTAACAGCAGTCTTTCGGATAGGAAAGGAGTGTGATGAGTTCTGAGAATTGGATTCCCTCACAACCACCTCCCTAGGAAGATTCTGATAATTGTTATCACTACAGTTTCCCAAACCCTAATACCCCAAGAGCTAAATGCTTCAATTCTCCAAAAACATGGAGAATGGTGAAGAATGGGAAGTGACATGGTATCAATATCTGTTGTGATAGGGCTTTAACCAATGTTAAAGCTACTATTCCCAGACCACCACAGCAGCTTCCATTACCAACCCACTGTTCTCAGAAACCTATTAATCATTAACAAGTACTCAAGGCACTCAAGTCTTCTATTACCAGTGACATGAAAGAAAAATGGAGAATAAAAACAAGTTGACTATCATGGTATTTCTAAATTTTGTTTAAGGTCAGAAGATATTTCTGATCCACTTCTAAGATTTTTCAACAGAAGAGGTGCTGAGCCACTAATTTCCCTCCAGAACAATGGCACACCTTTTTAAGGGGTTAGTGGTTCTTCATCAGAGTTTCTCTGCAAACTAATTAGTTATTACAGAATTTTGAGTTTATTAACATGTTCTAAGTAACAGAGCTAAAGTTTTAACAGATCTCTGTTCTAAAAAAATATTACATTAAAAATAAAACAGAACACACGCACACCCATTTGTTAAATTTCCCACCTCAAAACACTTTCTCCTTTTTTAAAACAGGACTAGATATCTGTGATCAGCATATACTTTAAAGTACCCTTGTTTTGTTTACTCAAAATAAACAAGATTAAAAAATATTAATATATGTAGTTTTAAATCATTCTTAAAATTACCTATCATTCATAAAAATAAGTTAGGCTGAAAAGAAGATTAGAATACTGGTATTTTTTTTTTTTAATGTTATACATGATTCCAAATTACCAAACATTACAAGTATTTATACCCATTTAAACTAGCTCTGTGAGATTTTCTTCCAAAATAACTAGTTTTAACCTATTCAAAAAATATTCTTTCTTTGTATGTTTTATGTTCCCCTATTGTATTTTTATACTTTAGTTCATAAATAGCAGTTCAAATCCAAAGAGCCAACAGTTTATTTAAATACAGTTTTAAATGTTGATGCATGCACCCCCCCCCAAATCTACATTTCCAAAGCAAGTTTTTTTCTCATAAATGTTACCAGTACCCACAATTTCTAAGTAAATAAAAAATAGAAAGGACAGAATAAAAGAAAACAGAGTATAAGAAACAGATTACTTACCATTACTCTGCAGTGTTAATCCTGAGAGATCTTAATTTTTTAAAGGGGAAAAGAAAATGAAACATTAATCATTACCATAAAAATATTTTCTTGTATATAATATTAAATATTATATTTAATATTACAGAATGTAAAATATAAGCCAGAGTTAAAACTTCACGAACCATTTCAATTCAAAAATAGATGCTATTTAACAATACACGTAATATTCAACTCTATCATGCTTTCCATCTTATTTTTTAAAAACATTCTAAATGGGCAAAACACCAACTTAGTTTTAGCAATCAAAATGTAAGTTTGTTTCAGAGTTGAAATTTAAATACTTATATTTCATTTAAAAATGTCTGATTCTTTAATCTTAGCTGAAGTTCTGGGCTACTTCCAAATTTATAATTTAATTTAGAAAAATTAAAACACTATTGGGATCTTTTCCCTTTGTGCTTTTAAGGATAAAAGCAAAGTCTACTTACCAATTCCAGGTGATACAACTCGTTCATAGTGATATGGATTCACACAGACACTATCACATTTTAAGTCAAATGCATACTGACAATATTTAACATGTTTTAGTTCATTTTTGTGAAGATCAGGCCACCTCCAGAGACGGGCATAGATCACATGAGGAAATCCTTTCCGACCAGCCACCTAGAAAAAATAAACAACCATTTATTGAGCATCAGGTATGTATCATGCATTACATAAGGCACTTTATACATGTTCTCATTTCATCCTTACAATCCTATAAAGTCAGTATTTTAATACCCATTTCATAAATGAGAAAAACAAAGCTCAAAATAACTTAATTGGCCATGGTTACAAAACAGTGAGCTCAGGTATGATTTCAAGGCCTGTGCTTGGGTTTTAAAGATGCAAAAAAAATGAGTCTGTTGTAGAAAGTATGCCTAAAATCTAGAAATAAAAATCTGAAATCTAGCCCTGGCCGGTTTGGCTCAGCGGTTAGAGCGTCCGCCTGCGGTCCGGAGAGACCCAGGCTAATTATATGTTCCCACCTACATGAATTTCTGGGGTGTTTGAAAGTGTTATGGGAAGCAAGATAATTCTTCAAAGTCCCTCACATTGTAGGATGGCATGCCTGGCCCCCATCCACCAAAGCTCTTCCCACTAATTTCCACAATATCCCTTAAGGAGCAGTACTTATTCCATTGAGAACCAATGATGTAGAAGATCCAAATATATTACACTACCTAATAGATGCTAAAAAAGGTAGGTGTTGCCTTGGCCGATTTGGCTCAGCGGTTAGAGCATTGGCCTGCGGTCCAGAGAGACCCCAGGGTTCGGTTCCCGCTAAGGGCACGTACCTCGGTTACAGTTTGTCCCCGGCCCTGGTTGGGTCGTATGGGTGGCAGCCACTCGATGTGTCCCTTTCACATCGATGTTTCCCTCTCTCTCTCTTCCTCCCACTCTATCTGTACAAAAAAATGGAAAAATGTCCTCCGGTGAGGATAAAAAAAAAAAAAAAAAAAAATCTGAAATCTAACGACATAAGATCTCTGTATGTTTCTTTATAAGTATTAAGCACAGATATCTTATGTAGTTCTACATAAAAAATAAAAAATATGACCAGTCAAAACAAAAGGTAAAGAAAATTTGTATCCCGGCTGGTGTGGCTCAGTGGTTGAGCGTTGACCCATGCACCAAGAAAGAGGTCACCAGTTCCATTCCTGGTCAGGGCACAAGCCCAGGTTGTGGGCCAAATGCCCAGTGGGGGGCATGCAGGAGGGCAGCCAATCGATGTTCTCTCTCATCGATGTTTCTATCTCTCTGTCGCTCTCCCTTCCTCTCTCTCTAAAAATCAATACAAAAAAAAAAATTTTTTTTAAAAAGGAAACTTGTAATATATAAGCCTTTTAACTCAAGTTTTAAAGATATACTTGAATTATTTTAGATTGTTTTTAATATAAAAGTACCAAACATACAATATCAGATTTCTAAATTATAAAAGAACCAAGTATAACTTGGGTTCTTAAAATGTGCATATAATACCAAAAAAAGGAGAGAGAAAAAAAGCTATAAGGATGAACACCAAAAAGTGCTCAAGGTGTGGGTTTTCTTTTGCCTTTTATTTTTATGTTCCAAATTTTCTACATTTAACTTTATCAGAACTTAAAAAATATATCTTTACTATATGGAATACATATTCTCTCATACATTCCCATAATGCATATTGGTACAAGAGGTATAATATCTAAAGAGATGGAGCAAGAATTAAATTATCCCAAAGAAACAAAAAGAATTGTTTTATTCTGCCACTACAGAAGATATATGAAAACTCTAGCACAAAACTAACCTGAAGTCTTCCATCCAATGTTCTCTGGATAGTAACACATTTGCTAGGATGAGCTCCATTTGTAGTAATGGCTGTTATTAAAGAATCCAATTCATCTTTTTTCTCCTTCAGCTTCTTTACTAAACTTTCAATTGCTCTTTTTGCAAATGTTTCACTCTCTCCACCTTGTCTATGGCACATCAAACTATGTACAATGCTCAGACAGGCATCATTACTTGTTGGTGTATTCGTAATAGACATATTGTCCATTTGTTAAAGTTATTTCTTTTAAATCAAATATGTCTCCAATATCCAGAGCAGTTTTGATCTTTTGGAAGCAGCGAAAAACACTGGCTAATGTTGCAAGGTAAACTGTTAAACATGTGGAATTCAGGATAACCTTAAAAAAAAAAAAAAAAAAAAAAAAAAGACAGATATTAGAACACATTTTATGAAGTAGATTCAATTACTTGGGAAAAGATGGAACTGATCCAGTTAAGTCAAAGACTCAATGCACATAATTAAAATTTGGTGCTTAAATTTTTAAATGGCAATTAAAATGTTGCTGTTTTTGACATTCAAAAATATTAAAGTTAGGCCTTCTCATTATTATAGAAGAATGCTCAATCAATGCTTGTCAACAATGCTTGTTGACTGTATTAGTCATCCTAAAGTAAAATCTTAGTACTTTTAAAAAGAAATACTTATGAAGACCAGCACTTAAAAACATTCTTGATAAACAACTAATTAAATCCAATAGTCTATCACTAACACACATGAAAAATTCACTTTCACCTAGTACCAAATACCGTTTAACAGTTAACAACATCCATCTTTGTTAAAAGAGACTACTGACAACAATGAAACAGTAACAGTTTTTAAATGGGCAAAGGATTTTAATACTCATTTCTAAAAGCATGGCCATAAGGCACATGAAAAATGCTCAACGTCATTAGGGAAATGCAAATCAAAACCACAAGGAGATACCACTTGTGGGTGATATCACACCCACTGGTTAGATAATTCAAAAGGATATACAAAGATAGACAAATACTATAAGATTTCACTTATATGTAGAATCTATCTAACAAAATAAACAAAATAGAAACAGACTAACAGATACAGAAAACAGACTGACATGCTGTCAGAGTGAAGAAAGGGTGGGTGAAAAAGGTGAAGGGATTAAGCAAAAAAAAACCCCAAAACCAAAAAACAACTTCTTAGATACAGACAACAGCATGGTTGGTGATTACCAGAGGGAACGGGGATGAAAGGAGGTAAAAGAAGGTAAAGGATGAAAGAAGACCTGACTTTGGGTGGTGAACACGTAATACAATATACAGATGCTGTATTATAGAACTGTATACTTGAAACCTATATAATTTTATTAACCAATATCACCCCAAGAAAATCACTAAAAAAAGTTTTTTTAAAGGATATACCATAAGTATTGGCAAGGGAGTAGAGAAAATTGAACCCTCCAATATTGTTAGTGGGATTGTAAAACGGTGCAGCCACTTTTGGAAAGTTGTCTGACAATTCCTTAAAATGTTAAACATAGAATTACCCTGGGACCCAGCAATTCCACCCAAGATTACTGAAAACCTATGTCCATACAGAAACCTTTACATAAATGTTCACAGCAGCATCATTCATAACAGCCAAAAGTAAATTCAACCCAAATGTCCATCAACTGATAAATATATAAATGAGTATATCCATACAATGTAATATTATTCAGTCATAAAAAGGAAGTAAATACTGATACCTGCTACAACATGGATGAACCTGGAAAACATGCTAAGTGAAAGAAGCCAGTCACAAATGGTCACATATCCACTAATCTAATTTATACAAAACATCCAGAATAGGCAAATCCAGAAAAACAAAAAATAGTTTAGTGGTTGCCAGAGGCTTGGGGGAAGAGGAATGAGGAGTGACTGCTAATGGGTATGGAATATCTTTTAGGGGTAATGAAAATATTCTAAAATTTATAGCTATGATGCACAACTCTACACTATAGTGAAAACCATTGAAATGTACACTTTTAAAGGATGAGTTTTATAATATGTGAATTATATTTCAATAAAGTTATTTTTAACTGGGCCCTGGCCAGGTGACTCAGTTGGTTGGAGTGTCGTCCCCTACACCAAAAAGGTTGGCAGTTCCAAATCTTGGTCAGGGCACATACCTAGGTTTCAGGTTTGATCTCAGTTGGGGAAAGGTAAGGTAAACCATCAATGTTTTTCTCTCATATCAATGTTTCTTTCTTTCTTCCTTTTTTTCTTTCTCCAACTCCTCCCCACCCCCCAAATTAATAAAAACATATCTTTGGGTGAGGATTTAAAAAAGACCAATGAATTCCTCAAAAGATTTTACCTGTAAAACTAACACAAATTATTTTTCCTTTTTTTATAAATATATTTTATTTACTGATTTTTAGAGAAAGAGAAGGGAGAGATAGAAACATCCATGGGAGAGAACCATGATCGGCTGCCTCCTGTACTCCCCCTACTGGGGACCAAGTTGCAACCCAGACATGTACTCTGACCAGAAATTAAACCGGCAACCTTTCAGAGAACGGAGAATGCCCAACCAACTGAGCCACACGGGCCAGGGCAATTGTTTTCAAAACAAATTAAAATACAGAAAATAAGTATTAATGAAGAATCCATTCAATATTTACAAAACTAAAGTAACTTATCTGACCTCAAGTTCCCACATGAAATAAGAAAAGGCCATCAGTCTAAGAATAATGACATACAGCAGGAGTGGAGGCTGCACTTTGTATACTGGGTTGTTTTTCTTTGTTTGTCGATGTTATTGCATTCCATGCTTATTTGGCTTTTATTTTCTTTTGCTATTTACTCAAATCTTTAAAAATCCACCCCCCTCCCTGGCCGGTTTGACTCAGGGATTAGAGCATCGGCCTGTGGTCCAGAGAGAGCTGGGTTTGGTTCCCACTAAGGCATGTACCTCAGTTGCTGTTTGTCCCTGACCCTGGTTGGGTCGTGCGGGAGGCAGCCACTCGATGTGTCCCTTTCACATCGATGTTTCTCTCTCTCTCTCTCTCTCTCTCTCCTCTCCCTCCCTCCCACTCTATCTGAAAAAAATCCACCCCAAATAAATAAAACTAACTCATCAATCTATACCAAAACCAGTTTCTCTTCTGATGACCTTTATTTTTAAAGCATTAATTCCATTCAATTAGCCAACATGGAAAGCTTTGTAAATCATCTCTGACCTATCTCTCTTTCACTACCCCACATTCTCTCACAAAGTTGCATAATTCTTTATCTTAGTCATTTCTATCAGTTTCCTCCTTTCTATTCTCCTTGGCACTGTTATAGTTTGGGGCATCCTTAGAATTTATATCAATCATTTGGTATTTAACATGTGTTCCCCATTACTGTTATCTGTTTTACATTAATGTCTATCTCCTCAACTAATTATAAGCCCCATGCAGAGAAGCAATTTTTCTTCTATCTTTGAATACTTACCATGTGCATACATTAAATAAATACATGTCTGAAGGTATACTTTCCAGATAACCAAAGTGAACCTACATGGGGGATTTTGGATTAGAATCTGAGCCCTCACACTAAGTAGTTGGACAAATTAAGTTACTCAATCTCTCTGAATCTGGATTAAAAGGAGAGTATATAGAACTCGGTTGAGAAAATCTATAGTATAAAGTTCCTAGCACATAAGGTTCAGTAAAAAGCAGCTATTATCTGAATACTAAAATGTTTATTTTAATTGTTTTAAAAAGATTTATTTTTCTAAAACATATTAGGCATTTTTCTGCACTTTCTCCTATTAAAACTTTATTAAAGAAAATCTAGGAGGGCAGGGACTGAAGTAAGTAAACTACTCAACCAAGGACTCACAACTCAAAAGGTATATAGGAGCCAAGCAAATTTTATAAATGAATAAAATGTGGTAGGTGTAAAGAAAAGTACAGAGAGGAGTACAAGTGCATGCTCATTTACATGGGAAGCCACTATTCACTTCTGGCAGAAGTGTGACATTTCTGAATGCTAGCCCATGCTGCCAGATCTTCAATGTCCATTTGTATATGAAATCTCATTTGTAAGTACTGGCAATTTATTTGTGAGGAAAGGGGAGGAAAAAAGAGGGAGAGAGAGAAACCACTGTGTATGACAAACAAAATACATTTTTGACTCAAATCTGGCCCAAGAGTACCACCACCAGTTTGAACTTTGAATGCCAACTCATAACAATTTTAATTTCTAGACTGAAAGCTCTAGGGGACAGTGATTGTATTTGTCTTATTCATCAGTATACACCCAATTCCTAGTACATGTACATGCTCCTTAAAGCTTTTTAAATGAATGTATTTCTTCTGTATCTGCTTTCAGATTCTTTCTCTGCTCTTTTGTATTCAGTACCATATTATCCACCTGTTAAGTCGTAGCCATCCTTCAAATGCCATTTAAATATCTCAGTTTTTCCAAGACCATATCCTAACACACTATCTCCTCTTCCCACAATCCTAGAATAGAATTACTTCCCTGGTCTGTTTACTATATGCTCCCTGTATATTACTTGATCTCTCCCTCAAATTTAAAACATACCCCAATTAAAACAACACATTATATTATAGTTAGTTGATTATGTATTTGTCTCACACTCTGTTGCCACAAATCTAGATGTTCAAAAAAATAGCAACACTTTCTCAGCCTAAAAATTCCCAGCACCATGCAGTTCCTGACATATGCCAGGTAAAAATTTGTGAAGTTACCATAGCTTTTTATTCTGTGGCATTTTCTTGCAACAAATTTTGAAGAGTGCAAATACTTTGTTGTTGAATTCATTTTCTGATATTACATTCCAAAAATATTTGTATCAATTTATAATGTAATTAAAGTGTTTGAGTATAACTATTTCACCATAACCTCACCATCAGATGTGATCATTTCTAAAATTTAAGCTATTCTTTGGGTCTAATGGTAGCTCAAAAACTGCTTTAATTGCACATGTCTTTGAAAACATCTTTGCTTTCTTAAACAGACCTTTTTCATATGTGTTTGTCTTTGTTGTATTCCTAAGACAAGTGCCTAAAACATTATTTAAAAGTTCCTTGTATAAAAAAAAAATCAGCTGTTTAATGTTTTCTTACATTAAACACCTCTACATTGTAATTTTTTAAGAGTGGTATGTAATGACAGTGTACAAGACTCGTATAAATAAAATTATATGTTCTAATTAAAGCTCTAGCAGCATGACTGAAGCTACTTATATCTCTCAATTCTCTCACCTGTACAATGGGAATAATACATGCCTTGCCAACTTTACTGACTTGCTATGGTAATCAAATGCAACAGTGTACATAAAAGCAATCTGGAACCACAAATTGTCCAATCCAACAAAAACTGT